ATAAAAAGGTTTTTTTGGGCGCCTGGGTGGCTCAGTTGGTTAAGCGACTGCCTTCGGCTCAGGTCATGATCCTGGAGTCCCGGGATCGAGTCCCGCATCCGGCTCCCTGCTCAGCAGGGAGTCTGCTCTCTCTGACCCTCCCCCCTCTCATGCTCTCTCTATCTCATTCTCTCTCTCAAATAAATAAATAAAATCTTTAAAAAAAAAAAAGTTTTTTTCAAGTATTTATCTCATACTTTCTACACATTGAAATAAAACATTAAATAATATAGGAGAATAGCCTCTCTCAATCTCATCTCCATTCCCTTAGTCTCTTAGGATTTTGGAATACATCCATTTAGATATTCCCAACAGTATGTATATGTGAATGTGTACATTTATGTATGTATGGTCACAAATATACATTTGCACAAAAAAGGGATATATATAGTTCTGCATCTGTTTTGTTTTTTATTTATTTATTTATTTATTTTATTTTTAAAGATTTTATTTATTTGACAGAGACACAGCGAGAGAGGAAACACAAGCAGGGGGAGTGGGAGAGGTAGGAGCAGGCTTCCTGCTGAGCGGGGAGCCCGATGCGGGGCTCGATCCCAGGAGCCTCGGATCATGACCTGAGCTGAAGGCAGACGCTTAATGACTGAGCCACCCAGGCTCCCTCTGTTTTGTTTTTTATTCAACTATATCTTATGGGCCCCCTTCTGTCTGTACATTTAGATTTATCTCATTCTTTTTAACAAGTGCAATGCATCCCACTGCATTCCACTGGTGGGCGTATCATAATTTGACTTTACTGAAAAATATTTAGGTTGTCTCCAGTTTTTCATGTTATCATTATGCAAACATTTGTTTATACTCCTGTCAATATTTCATAGGATTTACTAAAGAGGAATTACTGGGTTCTGGATATGTGTGCTCTCAGTAGATGTGGGTGCTCGTAGAGGAAGAATCTCTACAGGGAATAAGGAGTCACTTAACTTTTCAGGGTAAGAACAAGAAAAATGTCATATTTCAAGAGGTCAGATCTGACAGTAACATTCAAAATGATTCAGAAAAATAATAAAACATCAAAAATACAACTAAAAATCATAGTAACAGACATGAAATGATGGGAACTTGGCTTGGCACTGCATCAACAAAGATGAAGAGGAGAAGAAGGGGCACCTGGGTGGCTCAGTCGGTTAAGCATTTGCTTTCGGCTCAGGTCATGATCCCAGGGTCCTAGGATTAAGTCCTGCATCAGACTCCTTGCTCAGCCGGGAGCCTGCTTCTCCCTCTGCCTGCTTGTGCTCTTTCTCCCCATCTCTCTCTGACAAATAAATAAATAAATACAATCTTTAAAAACAGGGGTGCCTGGGTGGCTCAGTTGGTTAAGCGTCTGCCTTCAGCTCAGGTCATGATCCCAGGGTCCTGGGATCGAGCCCCGCATTGGGCTCCCTGCTCAGCGGGAAGCCTGCTTCTCCCTCTCCATCTGCCTGCCGCTTCCCCTACTTGTGCTCTCTCTCTTTCTCTGTGTCAAATAAATAAATAAAATCTTTTAAAAAAATAAAAATAATTTTAAAAAAGAAGAGGAAAAGTGGATCTACTAGCAGGTAATATCAGAGAAGCATGAGAAATGAGGAAGCACTGAGAGTAGAAAAACATGATACATTCTTGCTGATACCATGATTTTTGCTCTTTGAGACTAAAAGAATAGGAGGAGTCAGGATGAGAAATTTGCTTGGGAGAGAAGACGGTCTCTGTTTTCAGATGTATTGGGTTTGAAGTGACAACAGTGCATCTAGACAGAGATGTCCTAAATACCAGGGGTATGTGGGAATAGAGTTCATATGGATGTATGAGACAAAGATGAAAATATGGAAAATATAGGTGTCAAGGAACAAGTGAAACCATCACAATGCACTTGTGGGCATTTGTGCGGATATAAAACAGCAGCGTAAAAGACAGAGGCCCCTCAGGGATTGTGGCAGACACTGTTGGATATTCACCAAAATCTGTTCTTCCCATTTCTGGACAAGCAGCTACACTATATTTCCCAATCTTCCTTGATTTTGATTTGAGTTAAGGGACAAAGGTTTCTCCCATAAGTGACTCAGAGTAAAAGTCACATGAACCACTCCAGGCTGGCCCATTAAAGCTCCCAGATGGGATTCCTGCGTGCTCTTATCCTGCTGCTGGCTATCCTTAGATGAGGAGCAGGCCCTAGGGGATGGTGCAGCCACCGTGTGGGAGAAATCTCAATCCCAGATCCGCTAGGTGGAAAAGAACTGGCCATTGGCCTAACCAGTTCCCCCAGACCAGTGTATGAGCAAGAAATTCCTATTCCATTTGAGCCACATTTTAAAGTCTATCTGCTATAGTCGTTTAGCCTATCCTAACAGAGGTGGAAATGATGTATCTGCATTAAAAAGAATATTGATGGGGCGCCTGGGTGGCTCAGTCGTTAAGCACCTGCCTTCGGCTCAGGTCATGATCCCAGGGTCCTGGGATCGAGTCCCGCGTCAGGCTCCCTGCTCTGAGGGAAGCCTGCTTCTCCCTCTCCCACTCCCCCTGCTTGTGTCCCCTTCTCTTGCTGTGTCTCTCTCTGTCGAATAAATGAATAAAATCTTTAAAAAAAAAAAAAGGATATTGATGAGAAGCACTGAAAAGGCAATAAGAGAGATAGAGGAGATAAAAATTATTAAACTGGCTGGTGGAGGAAAGGACAGATACCAAGAAGGTGGTGAGGTCTATGAACCTAATGCCGCTGTGTAGAATAGCGCTGTAAGAACACAAACTGTGGAGTCAGGAGGATTCGAATTCAAATACCAACTCCACCAACCAGTAGCTAAGTGATGCTGGACAAATTTCTTAACCTGTGAGTCTTCTTTTCCTCCTCTGTAAGATGCGGCTAACGTAGGCACAGGACTCACAGAGGCCACCTGGATGAACAGCTGTCATTATTATTGTTCTTAGATGAAGAAGGCTATTAAAAGCTGTTTGATTTGGTAAGAAGGAATTCTGTGGGGATTTCTCACAGAGTCCTAAGTTATCTGAAATAAAAAGTTAAACTATACAAGTTAAAAGGAAAATCAGAATTGAAACTATGATTACAGAGTAAGATTCAGGAAAAAATTTTTAAAGGAATCGTGAGAGTGAGATCCATGATAAAATGACATGAGAATCTGGTGAAAGGTGCTGTCCTTAATGAGAGGAGACCCATGAATACCTGAATGGACAGGAGAAAGAAGCTATGATCAGGGCAAGGTTTGGAATACTGGAGAAAGCAAGACAATCACGAAAGTCAGGTCAGGAGAATTAGTCAAGAAAACTAACCCTGATGAGAAAGGCATCTCTTTCCCCAATACTCCAGAGAAACTAATGAGAAGAGGCAAATGCAGGTGGTAATCAGGTTTCTCGTGGGTCCCATCCAGATAGCATGGTCTCCCCCACAGCCTGGAGAAGTCTTCAAGTGGAGCTCTCCAGCAAACATGACAAAGGCCCCAACTGCCTTGCTCTTACCTGAACTTGGACTTCCTGAAATCTCTCTCTCGATCAGCCACGGCTCTTCTCCTTTCTCCAGCTGGGAAATCACACCAGGTTTGGAGAGCTGATATCCTGCTCATGAAGAAGAAAACACTGCATGTGCTGAGGTCAAAGAGCCATCCCAAGAATTTAAAGATAGTTCTTTGGTATTCAGGCCTGCTGAGGGGTAGAGTAGAAAGACCAGGGCAGAAAAGACCACAGCTATCCTGACTTGCTGTTTAGAGGGAACTAGAAAGCTCTATCATAACCCAAAGCCCAAGCATAGCACTTCGGTTAGAAATAAAGATTTTCTTCCAACAGGCAGGTTCTGGTTGTAAGGGGAACTCATCCTTACCCACGGAGACCAGGTTCCCATAGTTCTCCAGCATCACCTCCCGGTATAGATTCCGGTGAGCAGGGGCCAGTTGCCCCCACTCCTCCTGGGTGAAGTCCACAGATACGTCCTTGAAGGTCAATAGTCCCTAGAATACCAAATATGTTCCTTTTCAGTTCTAATACTGCCTACATGCTAAGAGATTCTAGCCAAGTCTACTTGGACACTCTCTTGAAAATTGGTTGGTTGACTCTGCAGGAGGTTACAAACAACGCAGAAAGCATATAAGTTGTCTTTTGCAACTTATCATTTGGCTAAAGGAGAAATACTCATGAAATATTAAAGAAGGTCTCAGAGCAGTATACAATAATTTGGATTAAGGACAATAAAGATCAGGAATATTTGAGGAAAGGGAGAGTTCAAAAGAGGCTCACGCTGCAAGAGAAGACAGGGACCTTTGTCGGGCTGAGAGAATTGGTTAAAATGAGAACATTTCAGCATAGGTAAAATACCATTAGCTGGGTATTAGTAAGAAAAGTACATGAGAACAGCACATTCCTGGAGGGAGCATGAATTCTGCCTAGCAAGGAAGATTTGACCAAAGCAGATACCATGTTGTGAAGTACAAGAGCCTGTCATGTATGATCCACACAAATTAAATAACCATTTTATGATTATTTTTAAAAATATTACCAAATGCAAAGAGAACCCAGAAGCCAGAAGGTTAAGATAGTAACACATTCCTTAAGTATAAAGATGACTCTAATGCTTTTTATGTATTATAAATAAGTCTGGAAGGCATTTCAGGCCTATTGGGCTGGCAATAGCATCCACATTTAACCCATTAGAAAACTGAATTTGAGGAATGTTAAAGATATGGGATTAAACCCTATATACCATGTTATTTTGGAAACTAAGATCACTCCACTATAAAAGTCTTCTGTTCTCTAAGAATATCTCCGTCTATATTGATTTTCTGATTACTCTATTTTCTGAGTTTCCCTATGACTTGGGGGTTTGGTAGCACAGAGCTTTGCCCGCTGCCAATGGTTTTCTGATTAGCTCATTTATGATACACGGACACTATTGAACTGCTCTTGGAAGTTTTCCTTTCTTTTCTGGTCAGCCTATTTAGTGTGTGCCCTTCATGACCTGCCAGTAACTTCTCTACTCATTTACTTTTTCATCTCAAATTCTGCTCCAAAATATGACCAGCAGTCCTCTCTTAAAGGTCATTAATGAAGTGCATTACATCTCCAAGAATGTCAGAACCGCATTCTGTTAATTTTTAAATGTTGCTTAAAATGTTTTACATCTAAAATGAATGATGTGCTATATTGAATTTAAGTTAAAAAAAAAAATGTTTTACAATGTTTGTCTTTCCCCTAGATGACACTGTGAGGTTTCAGGGCAAGAACTACATTACATACTTTTACACACACACACCCCACCCAGGACAATTTTTATTTTTTATTTTTACTTTTTCAAATTTTTATTTAAATTCTAGTTAGAATATAGAATATAGTGTAATATTGGTTTCAGGAGTAGAATTTAGTGATTCATCACTTACATATAACACCCAGTGCTCATCATAACAAGTGTACTCCTTAATATCCATCACCCATTTAGCCCATCCCCCACGATTTTTAAATGTGTTGGATAAATGGCCAGAGGTTTGTCTGAAACAAGAAGGTTCCTCAGGAACCTTCTATTATGGTGAACCTCCTATTATGAGGAACCATCTACTATTGGTGGGAAAATTACCAGTGAAATGAATCAATGTGGCCTGGTTTAGAACAGGCTAAGAAAATCCAACCCAGCAAGTTAAGCCAAAGAAAATCAAAGTCCAGGGCTCTTAAAATCTGAGAAACAAGTTCAAGAAAGTGACAGGAAACCCCAACCCACCTGAGATTCCACTGTCGAGGGCCTAGAGGTGACTTCATCCTCAAGACTTTCTCCCTGGGTCGCATCAACATCCTGAGAGAGCAAAACTGAGAAAGGAGAAGAGCCATGAGGTTTACATCTCCCCAAACAGAAAAACAGCTTGCAGACCTACTGAACACGGCTCCTCTCTCAAAACATTCACAGAGAGGGACACTTAGAGCAACTCAGCGCAGACTGGGGCCTCCTTAATGAAAAGGAGCTACAGTGCACTGCTTTGGGCATTAATACTCCCCAATGGTCAACACTGGTCCAGAAGCACAGATCTACTGGGCCACTCCTCTGTTCAAAAATCCTCAAAGCTTCCCCACTGATAAGAAAGAAAAATCCAAATACCTGCCCATGGATTTCAAGATCCTCCACAACCAGTCCATCGTTGCTTCTCTACCCTTCTTCATCCACTGGACTCACCCACCCACATAGCCCCAGTCACCCTTCTTTGAACATACCTCCTACTCAGTGAAAAACTGAGATATCCTTCTGGACCAGTTCAGGTGAAGTTTTTCCAAACACTCTTAATGAGAAGAAAGCTTCTTCTTCCCTGTACTCTTCCAAAGCTTGTTTTTATCTCTGCTTAGATATCGATCTCAGACTGCCTCCTGTTATATTTATTTATATAATTATCTCCCTCAGTTGAATATTAGTATGAATATATGGGTAGCAACTATCTGGTTCATTTTTTTTCTATCTGCTAAAGTGTTAAGCATAACACCCTGCCAGGTTGCTAGAATTCCAATACTGGCTGAATTTAGGTATTAAAAATATGAACTAGGAATTAAGGCAAATACATTGTTGTCCTTATATTTTTTCCCAACTTTTTATCATGCATATTGAACACCCATATATCCACCACCTATATTCAATGATTGTTAACGTCTGCCATATTTGCTTCATCTATCGATATATTTTTTGAACCTTTTCAAAGTTGCAGACATCATGATACTTCATCTCTAATTACTTCAAATAAGGATCTTCTTCATAATCCTAATACCATTTATCACACCTAAGCAAGTTAACAATTCATATTCAGATTTTCTCAACTCCTCTCAAACTGTCTTTTTTTTCTTTTTTTAAAGATTTTATTTATTTATTTGAGAGAGAGACTGAGAGAGAGAGAGCATGAGAGCAGGGAGGGTCGGGAGGGTCAGAGGGAGAAGCAGACTCCCTGCCAAGCAGGGAGCCCGATGCGGGACTCGATCCAGGGACTCCAGGATCATGACCTGAGCCGAAGGCAGTCGCTTAACCAACTGAGCCACCCAGGCGCCCTCAAACTGTCTTTTATTCTGGATTTATTCCAACCCAGGAGCCAACCACGGTTCACACATTCAAAGTGGTTGTTATCTGTAGTCTCTCTAGAATAGTACTTCCCTCTTTTTTCTTGACGTTGGCTTCTTAAAAACCAACAGTCTGTGCTAGGGTTTACCTTACTTGACAATCCCCTGTATTTTCTTTAAATCAGAAGTTCAGCCTTTAAGCTCAATTTAGGACCAGGTTAAATATTTTGGCAGGAATTCTTCATGAGTGATACTAATGTGCTTTTTATTACACTACCCAGAAGACACAAAATGTGAGGTTATCCCATCATTGACACACTTGGTTAAGAGAGTGACCACCACGGGCACCTGGGTGGCTCAGATGGTTAAGCATTTGCCTTTGGCTCAGGTCATGATCCCAGGGTCCTGGGATCGAGCCCCACTCCTCACTCCTGCTCAGTGAGGAGTCTGCTTCTTCCTCCCCCTCCTAAGTAAATAAATAAAATCTCAAAAAAAAAAAAAAAAGACAGTGACCACCAGATATCGCCACTGGAAAAGAATGTTCTTTCCTTAGCATTTAGCAAGTAATTTATGGGAGCAATACTTTGGCACCCTGTGAATACCCTGCCCCATTAGCTTTTCAATTATTTCATTTATAGTAAAATAGTTTCTCATTCCTTCTATTCTTTTTATTGGCAGATATTTTCTGTAAAAAGCTTTCCCTCAGCAATTGCAAATGACCTAAAATGCAAGGTAAATGCATTCTTCGTTCCCATAATAATTTATTTCCAAAGTAAGAAATCAAGTGTATGAATCACCATCACTGTTGGTAAATGAGTCTTTCCCCTTTCTCTCTTTTTTTTTTTTTTAAGATTTTATTTATTTGTTTGACAGAGAGAGACACAGCGAGAGAGGGAACACAAGCAGGGGGAGTGGGAGAGGAAGAAGCAGGCTTCCCACAGAGCAGGGAGCCCAATGCAGGGCTCGATCCCAGGACCCTGGGATCATGACCTGAGCCGAAGGCAGGTGCTTAATGACTGAGCCACCCAGGCGCCCCTCCCCTTTCTTTAAGTGTCATCATGAACTTATGGAATTTTATTTATTCAAGGTGTTACAATCAATCTGGATACTTAACAGTCCTAAGTTTGTCCAAACCTGCCATCCTGCTGGTACATGTCCATTAGTCTCTGGACTCTTCCTTGCTTTCTAGCACAAGATACTCCAGGCTCACCTGGTGCTTTCCCTGCTGCCTTCTACTTCTGACCTAGCCACCAAGTGCCTGGACAGGTCTCTCATTTGATTCAAATTTCCTCACTGTAAAATAAAGAAAATCAGGCAAGTCTTCCTTGCCCCACATGGGGAAAATGAAAAGAAATAACATATACAGTCATGACACTTAGATATTGGGTTCAGGTTGAACCTACAGTATTATTCAGGAAAACTCCAGGCCAGGAGCCATAATCAAGAACTCCAGAGACGTTTTACCCAATTGCCTCCCCAAGAGATGCTTCCGCTCAGCTGTCTACCTTCCTTCTCACACTAGAGGACGCTGCTTTTCTTCCTTCCCGCCAACCAGCCTATTCTCACCTTCTCCTTCAAACATCTTAGTCACATCCTCCCACAGGGGCGCCTCCTCCTTGGCCTTCTTTGGATGGCGCAACTTCACCAAGGTGCTGGCCTCCATGGGCAGGGTGATGAGTAGCTGCCGTAGCATGATGACTTCAGCACTCCTTTATGGGGCTCTCTGTCTCAGCCCACAAAGCAGAAGGTCCTATTTGGCTTGGCCACTTTTGATAAGCAAACTGCTGGGAACTCGGGCTTCCCAGTTGTGCTGGAATCCTCCACTCTGGCGCACCTGGGAACGTACAGTACCAAAACCCGGAGTCTGGACCTTTTAAATGTCTAGGCTCGCAAGGAACATCTCGTCTTGAGCGGCTGTCTCCTTAGCAAGCGGCGGGAGGCTCCAGGTTTCTAAGCAGCCACCTCTACAGCCCCCTGGTGACACTGGACAGAAAACATTAGTCAGCAAAAGGATCCAGAAAGTTCAGTCGCACAGTCAGAATTCTAGAACTTACACCAGTAGTGATTATTTTTTACAAAAGGTACATGAAGACGGTGCATATACACAGCCCACGCGGTCCAAACCACGGTACTGGTGTCATGAAACACAGAGATGAATAAAGCCCAGTTCTTTGTTGGGGGTAGTACTCTGTTTAAACTAGTCTTGAGATCTGAAATCCCAAAGGCGCTGGGCTTGAATCCCAGCTCCTTCGCTTCGCTTGGCCGTGGCAAATGACGGAACCCCTGCAATCCCGTCTCCTCCTCCCGCAACGGAGAGAATAAACCTTTCTCCAGGCCTGGACCTCGCGGGCTTTGTCTGAGCGCGACCCCTGGCCGCCGGGCGCACCACGCGCCACGGGGGACCGCAGGCGGGGCGGAGCCGGCGCTTCCCGTCGCCCCGCCCCAGACCCGGCGCAGCCCCCGCTCACCCCGCTGGCCGGCTCGCCCGGCTCGCCCTCGCTCCCTCGCCCGTCGGCCGGCAGCCCTCTACGCAGCGCCGAGATGCTCCCACGTAGCGCAGCCGTGGCCGGTGCGCCTGCGCGGCAGCGGCCTCCGCGCGTGGTTCCCAGCGTCCTCCGGGGCAGCCTCCGGCTCGCGGCGCTTCCCGGCATCCTCGCCGGGAGGCCGTGTCACTCCGTCACTCCGGGCTCGCTGCTGCTCCGGATCCCAACTAGGGGAGATGCAGCCCCACTCCTGCGGAAGGAGACGGAGCGGGTGCTCTTGTCCCCACCCAATCTGCTGAATAGAGCCGTCTCCCTTCTGCCGGCAAGAGGCAAGTGAATGTTTCCATGGGGAGATTGGAAACCCTTGACAAAAGGGAAACATCTCTATCACCTTTTTGTCCAAACAACATTGCTCTAAACGAATCCATAGCACTTTTACTTCATATGTACGTGGAAAAGCCTGAAAATGGAATGGAATCCTGTGTTTTATTAAAAGACTACCATGATCACGTCGTTTTTGTGCTAGCATTCAATAAATTCTTATGTTAATTGCTTTCCTTGTATTTCTGAAATGCCAGAAAATACACAAAAGCAAGATAATTATTACCTAGAATCTCATCAAGCAGAGATAAGCATCGCTAACATTTGGTGCAGACTTACCTACACAACCACCCCCCCCACACACGCCCCATGTTTTCTTCATGCATTTTTATGTATTCTCTACAAAAATGATTATACTGTAATGCACTTTTTTTTTAAAGATTTTATTTATTTATTTGAGACAGAGAGAATGAGAGACAGAGAGCATGAGAGGGAGGAGGGTCAGAGGAAGAAGCAGACTCCCTGC